CCAGGGCCCTCTGACACGTGAGGATTACAATTCAAGATGAGATTTGGGTGGGGACACAGAGCCAAACTGTATCAAGTACTGTACGGTAATGGTCTTAGACCTTCACATGCACTCACCACTCACTCACTGACTCACCCAGAGCAACTTCCAGTCCTGCGGGCTCCATTCATGGTAAGTGTCCTATACAGGTATACCATTTAAAATCTTTTATACCATCTTTTTTACAGTTTTTCTATGTTTAGATATGTTTAGTTACACAAATACTTGCCACTGTGTTCCTATTGCTTATAGAATTCAGTACAGTAATATGCTGCACAGGCTTGTAGCCTAGGGGCAATAGGCTTACCATAGAGCCTACACGTGCAGTAGGCTATAGGATTTAGGTTTGTGTAAGTACACTGAATGATGTTCGCACAATGACAAAATTGCCTAATGGCACATTTCTCATAATGTATGCCCACTGTTAAGTGAAACATGATTGAACTGCTATGTTCTAGGCTTAAAAAATAATGAACCTTTCATCCACATTACTGTTTTGAGCTGGATAATTATTTTATATAGGGCACTATCCCTCATATTCACAATACTATCATCCCTAATGGCCTTAATGAATACGAGTCGCAGCCCTATTCATCGTTAATAACCAAAATTACTGCTGAAAACTTCCCAAATACCCACTAGAGGGAGGTATGCATAAACATTGAGAATTGAGTTTTCTAAATGCCTATAGCCGCGATATTCCCATTCCTGGTCACTAGAGGGAGGAAGTAGTCTTTAGGATGGTAATACTCTGCTTTGTCTGCCTTCAAAGTTCAAATTTAAGCTGCTGTAAAGAAAATATTTATGGCAAATATAGATCATATTTCATTAAAATAACTATGGCACAGTTTTTCAACATACATTTGGTACTCTTTGTATTATTAAAATGGAATTAGAATCTCTTTAGGCTCTCACTGTTACAAAATTCATATTTTCTTAGGCTAATTATCTAGTTATGATCACTGCCTATGATAGTACTTTGAAAAAAAGAAAAAAACCTCATATTATTCTGCTTTCACCAGTCTTAAGAGAAACTAAAGACAAAGGCCCTAACCCGAATGACCCCCCACCTTTGTATGCTGGTTAAAGTGCACCCTATATGACTGCAAGTCCCAATGCTGTTACTTACTAGTTGCTTAATTTGGGCAAGTGACTTCACCCATCTAAGCCACAATGTACTCATATACAAAATGAATATAATAAAACAACTTACAGAATTACCATGAAAGTGGAATGAGGTATCTATGAATTGTTTTTCACAATACACTTTCAGTAAATATAATCTGACTTGCTCATTTTTATTATTTTTATGCTAAGAATTACATTAAATAAGTAGGCAACATAAAATCAAATTCTATTATGAAAGTGTAATTGTATAAAAGTTTGGAAACAAAAGACAATCATGTATAATGAAGCAATAGGTGAAAGGTTTGTGGAAGAAGAGTTGAATTGGAACAAATAGGATACCATTTGAATAATCTGAGAAAAAGTAATGAAACACTGGAACATAGTCGTAATGCTTGTCTATGTCACAGTCAATTCTAAATGATTCTAGATATATGGTATTTTGGGCTGATAGGGAATACAACCCTTTTTGCTCTAACTAAAGTGCTTTACCACATTCTTCCACATATCACTTTAAAGACCTTATAAAATACCTTAAGAAAAAACTAGCTGCATGAAATACATACTTCTAATAGCTGATTTTAGGCAGACTTTCTTGTTCAAGGTCACTTACATACAGTCTAGGACTTTTAATTATATAATAATGTTGAAGGAAAGGAAGTTAGTCCTGAGGGGGATGGTCCTGATAATTTCTGACAACTCTCAGCCCGGCTGATCCTGAGTTTGCTTGTGTGCAGTAGCTTTTTGAATGTGTATTTGCTGGAGAAAAAGAGGAAACATTCAAGGAATGGTACCCCCCTCAATGAACCTTAGTTCCTCAAGGGCAAAGACAACCTTTACTGTCCCATACAATCCTTACTTATGCTAGTATTCAATAAACAACTAGGGCAAAATTACAATTACAGACTACACAAATTTTCAAAAAGTATGCATCTTCAAGTAGTAGGCATTCATTGAACTGACTTAATGCAAGGCTAGACTCAGACATTTTCCTTTTCTGTTGCTAGCCAACTGTTAAAATAAGACTGAAATTATTTTCTCAACATCATATACATTTGTAAACTAAAAATAGAGCATTTTACTTTAGAAAATATGAATATATTGGTCTTAAATGTTACTAAAAATTTAACCAATGTAACTGTCAGTGTCAATCTGGCATCCAAATCTACCCTACCTCTATCAAGAAAGTGTTGCACAGTACATTTTGCAAAATATTCAGTGTATCTTATGTACTCAAGAACAGATCATTAAAGAAATTTTACTCACTTTCTTTTTACCCATTGGCCTTGAATTTTAGCCAGGTAACCCTTATCTTAGTCACAAGAAGCTTCATAAGGAGAAAATAGTAACATGTTTAATTTTTACAGATATTTTATACGCTTTCAGATATTCCTCAAGATATCAAAAGCCATGCTGTCCTGTATAATTTAAAATTTACCAGTAGCCACATTAAACAATGGCAAACTCAGGATAATTTTTAAATATATTTTAACCCAATGTCAAAAATACTTCAACATGCAATCAATATGAAAAAAATTGAGATATTTTAACCTTTTTTCCATACTAAGTCTTCAAAATCCAGTGTGCATTTTATATTTATAGATCTCAATTCCGACTAGCCGCATTTCAAGTGCTCAGTAGCCACAATCCTGTCCTGTACTGGACAGGACATGTCTAGAGCCTAATCCCTTTCTATCTCCAGTATAATCACCTTAAAATGCACAAAATATATAAAAGGTAACCCAAAATTAAGTAACGCTCTGTTAAAATGCAAGTGAAAGATTAAATGTTAAAAGTGTTTGGACATTTTCTAATGACTAAAATGGGAAATATTGTTATTTAGGAATGGCTTTGCAAATCTTTTTGACATTTTCTTTCCATTTGCTCATTCTGAGCACTAGGTTATTTTGTTCTTTTTCCCCATGAGTTATTTTGTGATTCAATATTTATCTGTTGACAACTATGTGCAAAATATTATGCTAGATGCAATGAATAATGTAAAATACACTACATCTCCACTTTCACAAAGTTTCCAAACTACTAAGAGAGGAAAAGAGTGAAAATGTGAAAAACATGAAAATATAATCTCTGTATTTTATTTTACTGTGTCACTCTGTCGATTACTTGTCAATCCTTCCCCAGTTCCCTAATGAAGGGAATGGACTTTTCTTACTCTTTTTCTATTTGTAGAATTCACGGTAATGAATAATTATGTTATTTTCTAGAACAGAGGTCCCTCCAAAGTACACTAAGTGCATAAAAAACATTTATCTCCTCTATGGGTACCGAAAGACTAAAAGGCGGAAGAGTTACTAAGGGCGGGCCTTGAAGGATTTGACAGGAGAGTGGTGAGGAAATTTGAGGAAAAGAAGTTTTAACAGATCAGAAAGTATGAAAATAGAGGAATACTTCACATATGATAGGTACTCCCTGCATACAGGCTAATAAAAGGAGCCTGAATAACCTGAGAATATCATATATGGAGCTAGAAATGGAGGATTTGAGCAACTGAAGGGGAGCTCGTGCTGCAAAAGCTTTGTGGAAAAAAGTGATTGAGTAAGCAGCTGCAACTGCTAACGTTTTAAAGTAAACTACCTTGGAAGGTCCTGAATGTACTGTGCCCTGTTTTCTTCTCTGTGGGATAATGCCTATTGTGTCCATTTAAGGACTTTAATGATTCCATCATTTTTAATTAACATGAACAATTTCGTTCAAGCATTACATTTATGGGTAAGGTGAAAAATAAATCTAGCAGAACAAGATGCTTTTATTTTACCATTACACATAAAAAAGAAGACAAATATGCTAATGGTACACTTCCAATTTGTCAGAGCAATTTCACAGTATTTGAAAGCAATTTAGGAAAAAAGACACAGCACTTACTAAGGAAAACTATTACTAGGGAAAATATCATGTAAGACAAAGAAAATCAATTAAACCACTTTTGTAGATTATTTTTCCATAAAGACAATTTGACAAGCCTAAGACCAAGTTATTCAAACTATGTTTCTAGGAATATAGTTTAACAGAAACAAGAACAAGTTGAAAACCGTTACAAGTATTCATGTTTCTATATTGTACAGGAAAGTAAGACTCTTGTTCTTCCAAATGTTCCCAATTGAAATCAAAATAATGTCTGTACAGCTCAATTTTCACCATAAGCAGAAACAAAAAAATAAGATTTTACTAAATCCTAGTAAAATAATCTCATAAATTCAGTCACAAAACAAGCAAGCAAGCATTCAAAGTTGCACTGTTTGTGTTTCTTTCAAGAACCCTTGTCTAGGCAACAATTTAACACTTTAACCCCTTCAACTATCCTGAGAAAAGTATTTCTCCATTGATCACCACTGGGGAGTATGTACCCCTTCCTCCTCAGCTCAGTCTTCATTCTAGGCCCAATTTTTACCTGGCCCATGCCTCTAGCCTTTTGTTCAGTTTTCCCTGCTCAGGGCACCCATCACAATCTCTTTTGTTCTTCCATCCGTTATAAACTAGATCTCACGTTTCATTCCATCCAGATATGTCTCCCTTTAAATATTCTAGGAGTTGGTAAAAGGGATAGAAAGGGGAAGAGAGAAGGGGGAGTGGGTGGAGCAATAAAAGCTGTATTTTACAGGACAAGCTCTTTGTCTCTGAAAATGACAGAGCCAAAATAAACTAAAGTTTGCTTCTACAAATGTTTCTAAGCTATTACCGTTTTTTTTAAGAGACAGGATTGGGAGGCTGAGGCGGGCAGATCACTAGGTCAGGAGTTTGAAACCAATCTGGCCAGCATGGTGAAAACCCGTCTCTAGTAAAAATACAAAAATTAGCCGGGCATGGTGGCACGCGCCTGTAGTCCCAGCTACTCAGGAGGTTGAGGCAGGAGAATCGCTTGAAGCCGGAGGCGGAGTCTGCAGGGAGCCAAGGTCCAGCCTGAGCGACTTAACAAGACTCTGCCTCAAAAAAAGAAAAAAGAAAGAGATAAATAGGAGAAAAGAGGAGGAGGGAGAGAGGGACCTCGGCAGCAGCCAAAGTAGGGCAAGTAGCAACAGAAAGTGATTAGAGGTGAAGGAAGAACAATGAAGTAGCATAAATCACACAGAACAAGTGGTTCCACTGCTTTTTTCCTGAATTCATTAACGTCCAGTAACTGTCCACAGGCCATGTGCCCATACTGCCCGATGCAGAGCTAGGTAGATAGAATAGGCTCGCAGACAAAGCTAGAAATCCAGGTGATAGCAACTAGTTCAGAGGCCCTGGGAATAAACAGGGTCCAAGCAGTACAGATAAAGGCAGTACCATCTACAGTATCATTTGCTTGGCTTAGTAGTGTGAAGGATGGTATCGTAGCACGTGATATTCCAGAATAAGGAGGTCCTACGGAAGTGGAGAAGCATATCCACCACCGTCTCAATCTTGAGGTTGAGAGAAGTGAATATCCAAAGGAAAGACGGTGCAGAAAAGTCAGCAAAAACAAAACACAGCAGAAGGCATACCCACTTCCGTTACTCAAGCACAGGTCCAGCAGGTGGTGGTGGGAGACCTTGTGCAGCAGTATTCCCAAGGGCAAAAGTTAACCCGACTGGAACCCAAAGGGCCTGGGGATCTCTACTGGCTCCCTTAGCGGGCGACGTCTGGCTCTACGGACTCCTTCACGCAACAGGTAGTATTGCAGTGGATTTGGCCACAGATCTTCTTTAATAATTTCAGCAATCTTGTCGGACTCTGGAAGGCTGTGGTCTGAGAACCAGGTGAAGAAGCTGCAGATGAGGTCTTGGTTTCTGCGAATGAAAGACTGGGGTTCATGCCCCCTGCGCCATATAATTGGAGTGGAAAGAGACACCACTCGGCCGGAAGATCTTACCTCATATTCCTTGACAATCAGCTTGTTTCTGAAGTAGGGGTTTCTTCTAAAGAAGAACTTGAACTTGCAGCCAGTTCTAGGGTGTCTGAGTTCCTTCACCTCTAAATTGGTTATGTACCTTAACATATCTGCATCTTGGCCCCTGATCATGGCAGACAACTGGGGGTGGTTTCGAAAAGCCGTCATCCAGAAGCCGGGAATATTCTGAATGATGTAGTTCCTCCGCTCCAGGTAGTGTCGACGCATCCGCCCAAATTTGTGCTCTAGTTGTTGGAAGGCCCTATCGGCCTGAGCATTCACAGTGTCCAGTTCCTGCTGGATGGCCTCCAGAGGGTCCATGCGGAGAGCCTCATGCAGAGGCCACGGCCCTTCCTCCTCCCTCGCCTCTTCCTCCGCCACGTCTATTTCTTCACCCTCTGGCGGCTGCTCCTCGACCGCCATCTGCTCCTCCACTCCCTCCTCCTCCGCCAGGCCTTCCTTCAGCACCACCGCAGCCCTCTGCTCCTCAGCCACGGCCGCCGAGGCGCTGGCGCACTTTCCTCTCGGCGCCTCCTCCGCCCCCGCCCCCGCCGTCAGCTCCGACGCGGACCCCTCGGCGTCACCGAGTTCTAGGGCCCTCTCTCCACCCCGAACGCCCTTCTTCGGGCTGTGGTCCGCTGCCACTGCCACAGAAGCGGCTGCCAGGCCCTCGGCGGGAGGCTGGCCCTCTTCCTGCCCGGCTGTGATCGCCACATGACCGCGACCCCCAACAACGCAGATCTGGGGAGTGCCGCCGCGGCCCGCGGGATCCTGGGGTACGCACCCTTCCTCGGAAGCCTGCGGGGCCGGGAGCGCGACGGTCTCCGAGCCTCCCTCACCCGGCTCCGCCATCACCTGTGTCGCCTCGCTTTGGTCGCGGAGCGTCAGGCACTGGCGCGCGTCCGGGTCGCCCGGGACGTGGTCAGAAATAGTGATGCTGTGCGTTTGAAGGGGAGGGGTCTTCTCGACCCCATCCAGGCCGCTCATGTTGGTTACAGTCGGACCGACCGCAGGTCAGCGCCCGTTTCCCTCAGAGAAGCAGAGCTGAAGGTAACAGCCGCTCGCGCCGCCCACCCTCGGGTCTCGGGTACGCCTCTGCGGCGGTGACGTCAGTCCTGCAGATCTCACGGCATCGCGAGACCTTGCTGAGCCTGGAATTGGTTCCGCCTCTCCGAGCCAGCCAACCGGAATCTCTGGGCTTTACTTCCGTGAATGTATCCATAGCAACAGTAATTTTACCTACGTTAATAAATGTGGATCGTTCTTAGTTTGGAAGCTGTGACGACCCACCTTGAGATGAATATGGAGACTGACCCCAGCATGTAGGAGCAGTTGTAGCATCACAGCCCTAACAGTGCCTGCTCTCCAGTGTCTGAAACCAAATGCTTTTCTGGTCTTCACTTTTTTGAGGCAGGAAGGTAAATCTATTCCGTGTTACTCCATGTAACTAGGAGCAAAAAGCTTCTCTTTAAGATGAATGGCAAAATGTTTCCCCCCCTTCTTAGTAAAAGTGACATAAAAATATCAAGTCTAGCCTTTACCATTACTGGGGGGGAAAAAAGCTACTCAGCAGCTTCTTACCACTAAAGCGATGCGTATTATTCATTGCTAATTCTAGATTTATAATCACCATCAAATAAGAGTTTGTGCTGCATAATATCGGTAGAAATTAAGCCAGGAACAGTTTGCTAAATGTTGTTCCATGCCTCCTCGCTGCAAGAAAGAAGAAATGATAACTATTTCTAGCCCCATAAACTTAATTTATTGTCATATTTAGTTAAGTAAGATAGGAATGTTTGGCTCTAATGAAGCATCTGTCTTTAGCAATCAGCTAAGACTTTATTAGAGAGGGAGGTCAATGTCTCTGGTTGAAGTGTTCCACTTTGTTGACTTGTGAGTTAAACTTGTATAATCTTAGAGAGTTACAACGCCTCAGAGAAGTATCAGCTGGGGGAGCCACATAACACCATTTTGTGAGGAAAGGCTAATTAAAATGAACAACTAATACGGCCTTAAAGTAGAAAACAAACTTGCAAAGAGCAACATGCAGCTGGTTGACTCAAAGTGTAAAAGAGGCAAACATTATTTTCTACTTAATTTGCCTTGTGTGGTAGTAGGCTGATGGCCTTCAAAGATGTGCCTGTGTTAGTTATGTGGCTAAAAAGACTTCACAGATATGATTCAGTTAAAGATTTGGAGATGGGAAGATGCTTCTGGATTATACAGGTAGGCCCAATGGAATTACAATATTTCTTTTAAGGAGGCGGCAGGAGGGTCAGTCAGAGAAGATGTAAGGACAAAAGCACAGAAAGAGGGACGAAATGGTGGAAAATAGGAGAGGGAGCAAGGAAAGGGAATTTGCTATGTTGCTGGCTTTGAAGATGGAGGAAGGAGCCAGGATCCTAGGAATAAAAGCAGCCTCTAGAAGCATGAAAGATAAGGAAATAGATTCTACCCTAGAGCCTCCAAAGGAATGCCAACACCTTGAGGTTGTTACCTATAACCTCCAGCACTATAAGATAAATTTGTGTATTTTTAAGCTGATAAATTTGTGTATTTTTAAGCTATTAAATTTGTTATAATTTGTTACAGAAGCAATACAAAATGAATACACCTTGGATTAAGGCTTGGTTGCATCTGAGCGTGCCTCAAGTTGTTTCTAACAGCAGCCCCTTCTGCCTTGCTCATTGCTTCCAATGAGTTCCCGCCCAACAGCTGTGATGTATTACAGCTTAAACCTCTCTTTCAGTATCAAGACCAGAAATATACTTAGGTATACACAGAAAGAAGAAATTAAAGCCTAAACATACCACAAATGATATCTGAGGAGACTGTAAACTGTAGGAGGACGTGATCATGGTTTTGTTTACCTCTGTTTATCCAGTGCCTAGCATACTACCTGGCACAGTATTCCATAGATTATTAAAATGTTAAATAAAGGAGCAAATGAGCAGAACACAGTTTCTCTTGCTGGCAACTTGCTGCTTGCAGAAGAGAAGTAAAGGCCATATGGATTGTCACCCCGCTATTCTCTCTATCTGCCTCCGTATATGGTAACAAATTCCTCCTCAGGAGAGTGAATTTCTGTATATGCTTCAAAGGCTCTAAAAGGATAGGAAAAACACAGATAAAACAATTTTATTTTACAAATAATTTAAGTTTGTGTGGTCACACTGTATGACAAACAAACTCTGAAGAGACAAGCATATTTACATGAAACATATCAAAGCCTCAGGCTATCAGCACCGTATTTCCAGTTCTCTCCTTTCTGGACAAGTCAAGGTAATGATTTCAGTCCTTATTTCCTTTCTGTCTACAGGAAATATAGAATGTGTTCCATCTCTACAAGAGATGGAGCCTGTGATACATGCCTGGAATTACTTTTGGTCTAAATAAAAAGGAATAATGGAACTTTCCACAAAGGCTGTTTCTTTTTTTGTTTGTTTGAGATGGAGTCTCTCTCTGTCACCCAGGCTGGAGTGCAGTGGCGCAATCTCAGCTCACTGCAACCTCCACCTCCCAGATTCAAGTGATTCTCCTGCTTCAGCCTCCCAAGTAGCTGGGACTGCAGGCGCGCATCACCACCCAGCTAATTTTTGTATTTTTAGAAGAGGCAAGGTTTCACCATGTTGGCCAGTATAGTCTCCATCTATTGACCTTGCGATCTGCTTGTCTCAGCTTCCCAAAGTGCTGAAATTACAGACTTGAACCACTGGGCCCCGCCAGGCTATTTCTTTCCAATTGCCATGAAATCATCTTCTATCTTGAACTGGTATAATTTCATTTGGCCTAAAGTGGAGACTTATTATTCCAATATGTGTTCTATTTTTTTAAGCAGAAAAGAGTGTTAGGCTTGGACCAATCCTAGAATATATGGCTTTATTTGTCAAAGAAGCCATTATGTAATTAATGTAATTAATATAATTAATACTCTTACCAATAAAGCTAGGAAATTCTAATTACAGATCATGTAAGTATAATCAGTACTCTGCTGAATGTATTTCCCCCCAATAACATTGAGACTTTTTAAAGGAACTCTTCATTCTCTTCTTGTCAGCACATTTGTAAAGCTGTGATGTAGAATAGTTGAGTATATAGAGAACATGAGATAAAATTACTTCTCACAGAAAATCACATTAGAGAATTGATGTGATTATAACTCTTCCTTGTAGGTGATGGAAAGCTCAGGTCATGATTGCTCAGAAGAAGGGTCAGTAAAGGGCAAAGATTTTAGAGGGAAAAGCAAATATTCATACTTTATGATCTATTTTTTTTAAAGAACAAATCTTTGCTTGGAAGGAAGAACTCTCTAGGATGTCAACTTGCATCAAAGCTCATGTGCTCAGGGAGTTATTTTGCCCTACAGGCAAAGCTGTGGTTGCTATTTGATGTAGAATATTGTACTTATTATAGCAGGGCTATTGCTTGTGGAATTTTTATCTTTTTGTGCTTAAAAGGCCCTAAAAGGATACCTCTTTTACATGGCACAGGTTATCCTGCTATCTGAGAATTCTCTTTGTAGGTAGATACTACACATTCTCTAAGGCTTACCAAAAACCTGTCTTGCTTTAGAATGTGCTAGGCATTTTACATGAATTAAACTGTCAAGTTTCATAAAACAGGAAACAGTAACACTGAGAGGCTAACTTTACGAAAGTCATACATATAGTAACTAGTAAATTCTTTCTGCCTTCTCGGGGGTGCATCCTTCCTAAGCTCCCTATGGCTCCTTAATCTTCTTCACCTGAATTACTGCAACTCTTTTATGAGCTGCACCATGCAATATAGCACTTAATTATGCTTTTTCTCTTAGTGACTCTAGTTGATTTATATGTGTCAGTCTCATCATCCAAGCATTCCAGCACCATCTCATGGGATAGGAGTATATTTGCAGCTTTTTTTTTGCATTTACTCATCATAGCATGGGGCTCAGATTTTGGTAGATTCTTAACAATATTTGTTGATTTTAATAAAGTAAAAAATTGTCTTACAAAAACCAACAGTGTATCTATACTGGCATTATATTTTATTTGAAGAGGGAATATATTTTGGCTATGCTTCATATATCACCTTTTTGCACTTTAAAAATATAGGATAAATTGGTCCATGACAGAGCATTTCTGTGGCAATTGACAATAAACTTCACTACCACCAAAGATACTTGAATCTTGTCTAATATGATTCTATGGGAAAACATCTGCAGAAAACCCTGAGGTTTTTCTCCATAATATCAAGGAATCATAGATTCTTCAGGAATGATTTCTCAGGTGGCAGGGAGTTTAGCAGAAGTTCAGACATTTTTGTTTTGCAGATGATAGGTTTTATCATTATAATTAATGTTAGCTTTCACTTATTTATTGCTTCTGATGTACCAGCCACTTTTATAAACACCATACAGTGTGTCACATCATTTACTTCCTATAAGAACCCCATGAGGTAATGCAGTTATGACCTTCATTTTACTCAATAGGGAACTGAGGCAAAGAGAGACTGTCACTTGCCCAAAATGACATAGAAAGTGATAGACCCATGATTCAAACCCAGGAAGTTTGTCTCAAAAGCCTGTATTCTCTGAACAGGTGTGAACTCACTTTCTTAAAATGAGTATAAAACCATCCTTGATGTTAAATTGATACACAATTTTCTTCTCTCTTCCCTCTTTCCCCTATCCACAAGCATATTAATATAATATTTATAAGGAAAGTACCCAAATATTTTCTTTCTTTTTAGAGGAGAAGCAGTATCAATGATCCCAAAATCCAATATTTTCTCAACTCTATCAGACTGAATGCCATCTTTTTATAACAGATACTTTCTAAAAAAGTCTTTCCTGAAATGAAATTTATAAATAATATAACCCACCTACACATGTAAATAGGAAAACATCAATATAATGACATCATAAAAGAGAAATAAAAGTAACTTTATTATAGTGTCTATTTTGATATGTAAGGACATTAGCATTGCCTCCACTATAAGAAATAGCAAAGTCGTTAGAAAGTTATACCTGTTGATATATACATACACATAGTAACTGGTAAATTCTTATCAGTTTCCATGGATGGAAACTGTTATGGGTATGTTTTACTTCTGATTCAGATAC